GAACTGTAGTGGCGTGATCGTGGCTCACTGCAATCTCCGCCTCTCAGGTTCAAGCAATTGTCTTGCTTCAGCCTCCTGAGTAGCTTTGACTACAGGCATGCCACATCTGGCTAAATTTTTTGTGTGTTTTTAGTAGAGACAGGGTTTTGCCATATTGGCCAGATTGGTCTCAAACTCCTGACTTCAGGTAATCTGCCAGCCTCAACCTCCTAAAGTACCTCCCAAGCATGAGCCACCACACCTGGCTCCCAATTAATTTCTTGTATTTTTTTGTAGAAATGGGATTTTGGCATGCTGGCCAGGTGGGTCTCGAACTCCTGACTCAAGTGATCCATCCACCTTGGCCTCCCAAAATGCTGGGCTTACGAGTGTGAGCAACCACGTGTGAAAGCCTCCAGCTTTCTTTCTTCTTTTTAAGAATCATTTATTTACTTATTTCTTTTTTCTTTTTGGCCCAGAAGATTTAGAATTAAAGCCTCCAGCTTTCTTCTTTTGCTCAGGATTGCATTGGATATTTGGGTTCATTTTTGGTTTCATACAAATTTTAGGATTTTTTTGTATCTCTATGGAAATGTCATTGGTATTTTGATAGGAATTGAATTGAATCTGTACATTACTTCAGATGGCATGATCACTGAGGGGAAAAACACATTGTTTTTTCTCTGCTCTAACACCACAACAATGAACACAGAAGACTTCTGTGATGACAGGTGTGGGGATTTCGCCCCACACACCAATCAATCAATCAATCAATTCTGCATCAGACATCTGGGTGTCCTCCAATTCTTTTTTTTCTTTTTTTTTTTTTGACACAGAGTCTCTCTCTGTTGCCTAGGCTGGAGAGCAATGGCACAATCTCGGCTCACTGCAACCTCCACCTCCCAGGTTCAAGCCATTCTCCTGCCTCAGTCTCCTGTGTAACTGGGATTACAGGTGCCTCCCACCATGCCTGGCTAATTTTTGTATTTTTAATAGAGACAGGGTTTCACTATATTGGCCAGGATGGTCTTGAACTCCTGACCTCAGGGGATCTACCCTCCTTGGCCTCCCAAAGTTCTGGGATTACAGGCATGAGCCACTGCACCCAGCCTTTTATTTATTTATTTATTTATTTTATTTTTTTGAGACAGAGTCTTGCTCTGTCACCAGGCTCCAGGCTGGAGTGCAGTGGCGCGATCTCAGCTCAGTGCAACCTCCACTTCCCGGGTTCAAGCAGTTGTTCTCCTGCCTCAGCCTCCCGGGTAGCTGGGATTACAGGCTCACGCCACCACACCCAGCTAATTTTTTTGTATTTTTAGTAGAGACGGGGTTTCACCATGTTGGCCAGGATAGTCTCCATCTCTTGACCTGGTGATCCGCCCACCTCGGCCTCCCAAAGTGCTGGGATTACAGGCTTAAGCCACCACGCCCGGCCTCTTTTTTTTTTTTTTTTTTTTTTTAAAAAAAAAAAAAAAAACAACGTTTAGCTCTTTTGTCCAGACTGGAGTGCAGTGGGACGATCTTAACCTCCCACCTCAGCCTTCCAAGCAGCTGGACAACAGGCATGTGCCATCATGCCTGGCTACATTTTTCTTTTTGTTGTTGTTGCTGTTGTTTTTCAGATGGCGTCTTGCTCTGTTACCCAGGCTGGAGTACAATAGTGTGATCTCGGCTCACTGCAACCTCCGCCTCCCAGGTTCAAGCGATTCTCTCCCCTCTGCCTCCCAAGTAGCTGAGATTACAGGCATGTGCCATCATGCCTGGACAATTTTTGTATTTTTAGTAGGGATGAGGTTTCACCATGTTGACCAGGCTGGTCTCAAACTCTTGAGCTCAAGTAATCTTGGAAGCCACCTCGGCTTCCCAAAGTGCTGGGATTACAGGTGTGAGCCACCGTGCCCGGCGTATTTTGTATTTTTCAGAGACAGACTTTTGCCATGTTACCCAGGTCAGTCTGGAACTCATGAGCTCAAGCAATCTCCTGCCTTGGCCTCCCACAGTGCTGGGATTACAGGCATGAAGCACCATGCCCAGCCTCAATTCTGACACTACCTACCTGGATGTAGCATCAGGCTGCACAAACTGAGGGCTCAGTCACACACACCAGCCCTCTCCCTTCCCACCAGTCACAAATCTCAGCCTCCAGAACTTCTGACTTGTTTCAAGTTGGGGTTCCCACGACCTTCTCTTTGGGTTCATTTAATTTGCTAGTGCGGCCTGCAGAATCCAGGGAAACACATTTACTGGTTTCTTATGAAGCATGTTACCAGGCAGGAGATGGTGACTCACGCCTATAATTCTAGCACTTTGGGAGGCCAAGGCAGGCAGATCACCTGAGGTCAGAAGTTCAAGACCAGCCTGGCCAACATGGCAAAACCCTGTCTCTACTAAAAATACAAACTTTAGTTGGGTGTGAAATTACACCACTGCACTCTAGCCTGGGCTACAGAGTGAGACTCTGTCTTAAAAAAAAAAAAAAAGGATGAGCCAGGTGCGGTGGCTCAAGCCTGTAATCCCAGCACTTTGGGAGGCCGAGGCGGGTGGATCACGAGGTCAAGAGATCGAGACCATCCCGGTCAACATGGTGAAACCCCGTCTCTACTAAAAATACAAAAAATTAGCTGGGCATGGTGGTGCGTGCCTGTAATCCCAGCTACTCAGGAGGCTGAGGCTGGAGAATTGCCTGAACCCGGGAGGCGGAGGTTGCGGTGAGCCGAGATGGCGCCATTGCACTCCAGCCTGGGTAACAAGAGTGAAACTCCGTCTCAAAAAAAATAAATAAATAAATAATAAAAATAAATAAAATAAAATAAAAATAAAAATAAAGTATTACCAAGGATACAGATGAAGAAATGCGTAGGGTGAGGTATGGGAAAGGGGCATACAGCTTCCGTGTCCTTCCTGGGTGAGCCACCCCCAGCCACCTCCAAGTGTTCAGCTCTCCGGCAGCTCCCTGAACCCTATCCTCTTAGGCACGGGATAGTTGTGATTAGCAACCACACAGAAATGTGACTGGACACAAAGGGCATGATCTGATACTGACAGTGGAAAAACAGCAAGGCCTCAGATTCATGGTCTCTCTGTGCCCCATTCCTTCTTCTGTTGCGGGAATTGAGGGACAGGAGAGACCAACGGGTAGGAACAAAGTAGAATAAAATGTTGGGCTGGGCGTGGTGGCGCATGCCTGTAATCCCAGCGCTTTGGGAGGCCAAGGCGGGCAGATCACAATGTCAGGAGACTGGGGTCATCTGATCAACATAATGAAACCCCGTCTCTACTAAAAATACAAAAATTAGCTGGGCATGGTGGCATGCGCCTGTAGTCCCAGTTACTCGGGAGGCTGAGGCAGGAGAATCGCTTGAACCCGGGAGGCAGAGGTCGCAGTGAGCCGAGATCGCGCCACTGCACTCCAGCCTGGTGACAGACTGAAACTCCATCTCAGAAAAAAAAAAAAAAGAGTAGCATGTTTATACACAGCAGGCACAGAAGAGGTCTTCACCCAGGGGAGGTGGCTGGGCAAAGCGACGGAGCAGTAGTGTACTCTAACTAGTATTATAAGGAAAATGGCTGAGAAAATTGCTGGACTGAGGATTTCTAGCCACATTTACTCTCCTGATGATGTCCTAAGCCTCGGCCGTGCATAGACTAGTCAGCTTCCGGAGTGACCAGAGTGGGCCTGTTGTCATCCTTGACGGCAACTGGGTCGTGCCGTAGCATTAGCTTGTTGGGATGGTCTGGGTCCAGTTGGCTGGTCCACTTTTCTAGGGCTGCCGGCTTCAGCCGACTGTGGTGGATCGAAGATGTGATTCCTGCAACACAGGATAGATGGCAATCTCCTCTGAAGTGGGGGTATTGTGACCTGCAATCACAGTAGGTCAGACAACATTCTTTCTTGCAGGTAAGGGGTAGAGCCCCTTACAAAATGGGAGAATTGTGACCTAATGTCAGACAAGGTGCGTCACATTATTTTTTTATAGCCAACTCCGAGACGCAAGGTGAGAGAAGATTTTTGCCTTGGGGTGAAAAAGGGCAGGAGAAAATCAGAGAGGTTGTTCCCTGAGGCCTGGTTCAGAAATCTTGGCTCACCGCAACCTCTGCATCCCAGGTTGAAGTGACTGTCTCAGCCTCCTGAGTAGCTCACACTTCAGATGCCCTCCACAATGCCCGGCTAGTTTTCATATTTTTAGTAGCAACGGGGTTTCACCATGTTGCTCAGGCTGGTCTTGAACTCTTGGCCTCAAGTGATCCACCCACCTCGGCCTCCCAAAATGTGGGGATTACAGACATGAGCCACCGTACCTGGCCTACATGGAATTTTTTTTGTAAGACAGAGTCTCACTCTGTCACCCAGGCTGGAGCACAAAGGCTTGATCTCAGCTCACTGCAACCTCCGCCTCCCAGGTCAAGTGATTCTCCTACTTCAGCCTCCCGAGTAGCTGGGATTACATGCATGTGCCACCATACCCAGAACATTTTTTTTTTTTAGTAGAGATGTGGTTTCATCAGGTTGGTCTCAAACTCCTTCCCTAAGATGTTCGGCCCACCTCAGCCTCCCAAAGTGCTGGGATTACAGGCGTGAGCCACCGTGCCTAGCAATGACATGGAGTTTTTTGTTGAATGGAAGGGGAGACAGCCTCACTTTGTCATCCAGGCTGAAATGCAATGGCACAATCTTGGCTCACTGCAACCTCTGCCTCCTTGGCTCAAGTGATTCTCTTGCTTGAGCCTCCAAAGCAGCTGGGACTATGGACATGTGCCACCATACCAGGCTAATTTTTGTATTTTGTGTACAGACAGGGATTCGCCACATTTCCCAGGCTGGTTTCAAACTCCTGGGTTCAAGCGAACCACCCACCTTGGCCTCCCACAGTGCTGGGATTACAGGTAAGAGACGCTCACCTGGCCAGATGGCACAAATTTGAGAGCCATCACCTGAAGGTCCTTCTGCACAGGGAATCTTATGCTAATGTTCTTTATGCTAAAGTTCTTTACAAGAACATTACAAAATCAGAAAAAGTTTCTTAAAAGCCAGACTTTATTTGTATTTAAAAACAATGCTCAGGAGACTTAGTTCCAAAGAGGAAGATTCCAGGGTTTAACGTACAGCTACAGTGCGGTGCTGGCCATCACTGTCTGAACAGTGGACAGCTCTGTAGTTCCTGGGGGACTTCTGCTTCTGCGTGTCCCTCCTAGTCTCAGCCTTGTGATTTGCTCCAAGTTCTCATCGACTCTAACTATGCACAGGGCTGTCAGTCCAGTAAGGACAATAAAAAAAGCACCTATGGCTATCATTGTTAATCCAGTAGAGAAAACCACAGAGTCAGAAGGGTCCTGAACAAGAACAATGATTCCCAGAATCACAGTCGATAACCCTAAGCAGGTGACAAGCAGACATTCAGAGCAAGACAAGCATCGGAACTCCTGTCTTCCGGGTAATCTCATCCATGGAGAAGTTTGGGCGAGCTGGTTCATGGTGATGTTTTTGCTGCAGTGGTTAAGGGAAGAAAATGTCTATGAAAGCTCATATATAAAAAAGGTAAATAGAAACCTTTCTGCTTTGCTGTGAATTATATCTATTACGCATTTTCTTCTGTCTTTTTTTTTTTTTTTTGAGACAGAGTCTCGCTCTGTCACCCAGGCTGGACTGCAGTGACACGATCTTGGCTCACTGCAACCTCCGCCTCCCGGGATCAAGCTTCTGCTTCTTTGTGTCACTCCTAGTCTCAGCCTTGTGATTCTCCTGTCTCAGTTCCCTTACTAGCTGGGGTTATAGGCATGTGCCACCATGCCTAAGTTTTTTGTTTGTTTGTTTGTTTTAGTAGAGACAGGGTTTCACCATTTTGGTCAGGCTGGTCTTGAACTCCCGACCTCGTAATCCACCTGCTTCAGCCTCCCAAAGTGCTGGGATTACAGGCATGAGCCACCACGCCTAGCCTCTTTTTCTTTTTTAAAAAATGAGACAGGCTGGGAGCGGTGGCTCACACCTATAATCTCAACATTTTTGGCGGCCAAGGTGGGAGGACTGCTTGAGCTCAAAAGTTCAAGAGCAGCCTGGGCAACATAGCAAGACCCTGCCTCTACTAGAACTTTTAAGAAAATTAGCCAGGTGTGGTGGTGCATGCCTGTAATCCCAGCTACTCAGGAGGCTGAGGCAGGAGAATTGCTTGAACCCAGGAGGTGGAGGTTGCGGTGAGCCGAGATCGCGCCATTGCACTCCAGCCTGGGTAACAAGAGTGAAACTCCGTCACAAACAAACAAACAAAAAAACGAACAAAAGGCCGGGCGCAGTGGCTCACGCCTGTAATCCCAGCACTTTGGGAGGCCGAGGCGGGTGGATCACCAGGTCAAGAGATCGAGACCATCCTGGTTAACATGGTGAAACCCCGTCTCTACTAAAAGTGCAAAAAATTAGCTGGGCATGGTGGCTCGTGCCTATAATCCCAGCTACTCGGGAGGCTGAGGCAGAAGAATTGCCTGAACCCAGGAGGCGGAGGTTGCGATGAGCCGAGATCGCGCCATTGCACTCCAGCCTGGGTAACAAGAGCGAAACTCCATCTCAAAAAAAAAAAAAAAAAAGATTAGGAACACAGGCCAGGCGCAGTGGCTCACACCTGTAATCCCAGCACTTTGGGAGGCCGAGGTGGGCGGATCACCTGAGGTCGGAATTTTGAAACCCGCCTGACCAACAATGGAAAAATCTGTCTCTACTAAAAACACAAAAATTAGCCAGGCATGGTGGTGGTGCATGGCTGTAATCCCAGCTACTGGGGAGGCTGGGACAGGACAATCACTTGAACCTGGAAGGCAGAGGCTTCAGTGAGTCGATATTGTGCCATTGGACTCCAGCCTGGGCAACAAGAGTGAAACTCTGCCTCCAAAAATAAAATAAAATAAAATAAAATAAAAGATTGGACCCGGCTCAGTGGCTTTGGGATTACAAGTGGGTGGATTACAAGTGCTTTGGTAGCACTTTGGGATTACAGGTGGGTAATACCTCCTGAGGTCAGGAGTTCAATACCAGCCTGGCCATCATGGTGAAACCTCATCTTTAAAAATTTTTTTTTAAATTAAAAAATAAAAATAAATTTTAAAATAAAAGATCAAGAACACGAACTTGAAGGAGACTGGACAGTCACTTGAAGGAAATTTATCTTCTCTTCCACCACCAGGGGGACCCAGTAGGTACAAAGTTTACCAAGGGAGAATCTTGGGTGGGGACAGTGATTGCCAAAAGCTCCCCACAGCTGTGGCTGCTCTTGCCTTAGGGACGGTTCACTTGAGGTCACTGATTACTAGAGAGCCTCAGTTGTGGATTGCAGAACTCCATAGCCACCAACGTAAATCAAGTCCCTGTTGCGATTTTAACTGAGAGTCATGTGGCATTTTATCAACACATCAGAGCCCCTTCAAAAAAGGTTTGGCTTCTAACTAGTCGGATTCATAGCCAACTTCCAAATCAATTGTGTGTGTGTGTGTGTGTGTGTGTGTGTGTGTGTGTGTTTCTGAGACAGAGTTTTGCTCTTGTCACTCAGGCTGGAGTGCAATGGCACGATCTCTGCTCACTGCAACTGCTGACTTGTGAGTTCAAGCGATTCTACTGCTTCAAACTCCTGAGTAGCTAAGATTACAGGAGCGTGCCACCACACCCGGCTAACTTTTGTATTTTTTTTTGTAGAGATGGGGTTTCATCACGTTGGTCAGGAGGCTGGTCTTGAACTCCTGACCTCGTGATCCACCTGCCTCGGCCTCCCAAAGTGCTGGGATTACAGGCGTGAGCCACTGCACCTGGCCTTGTTTTTTTTTTTTTTTTTTTTTTTTTTTTTTTTTTTTTTTTGAGACAGAGTCTCACTCTGTCACCCAGGCTGCAGTGCAGTGGTGCAATCTCAGCTCACTGCAACCTCTGCCTTACAGGCTCGAGGGATCCTCCCACCCCAGCTTCCCAAGTAGCTCAGACTACAAGTGCCTGCCACCACCCCTGGCTAATTTTTTAATGTTTTTGTAGAAACAGGGTTTCACCTTGTTGCCCAAGCTGGTCTCGAACCTCTGGTCTCAGGCAATCCTCCTGCCTCAGCCTCCTAAAGTGCTGGAATTACAGGTGTCAGCCACCACACCTTGGCCCAGGTATTTTCTTTAAGTGGGTGATCATGACCATCAACTCCCTTAGGGATTTAGAGTCTAATAGATGTATTTGAGAATCAAATAGTTTTAGTTTCAAAGATCGCTGTTTACATAATTGCAAGTAATTATGTCTTTGCAACTGTATACGCTAAACATTGTAGGTGTCAGATGAAATACTAAGTGGAACACAGTTCGTCGCAAAACATTAGGGCAGGTCAGAACAAAAAAAAACAATGAAAACAATGACAAATACTAGTGGTTTTGGCCTTTTAGGCTTGAACTCACCTTTAATGACACCATTTTATTAATTTGGCATTTCATATTTTTTTTGTTTTTTTTTTTTGGTTTGTTTTGTTTTTTGTTTTTAGAGACAGGGTTTCACCATGTTAGTCAGGCTGGTCTTGAACTCCTGACTTCAGGTGATCCACCCACCTTGGCCTCCAAAGTGCTGGAATTACAGGCCTGAGCCACTGCACCCAGCCTCATATGATGTTCTAACCCTAAATTGCTGGTGAGTTTTGTAGCTGAATTTTCTTAGCATCTGTGGCTAACTGTGGTGTGTTCTTTAGTTTACTAACAATTTTGTTTCTGATTCCCCAATGTCTAGCCATCCTTACATTCTTCAGATAAGCTCTCCTAAGCTGTTATTATCCTGGTTAAGCAGTACGAGATGTCTTACATTTATCTTAAGCAAGACCAGGTGATAGGAGTTTTTTTCTGAAGAAGAAAACCAGCTTTGAGTACTGCAAATGTTACTTTCGCAAAACGACTTGGGAAGCTTTGAATTACAATGGCAATAACTCAAGATTTGTATGCACAATATTTTATTTTTTGAGACAGGACCTTGCCTTGTCACCTAGGCTGGAGTGCAATGGCATAGTCTCAGCTCACTGTAAACTCTGCCTCCTGGGTTCAAGCAATCCTCCTGCCTCAGCTTCCAGAGTGGCTAGGCCTAAGCCACCTTACCCGGCTCCCGGCTAATTTTTGTATTTTTAGTAGAGACAGGGTTTGCCATGTTACCCAGGCTGGTCTGAGCTCGGGTGATCCACCCACATCAGCCTTCCAAAGTGCGAGGACTATACAGGTGACCCAGTGCACAATATTAAATCTCACTGCCTTTTTTCTTCCAGTTTTTTTTTTTTGTTTTTTTTTTTTTTTTTTTTGAGACGGAGTTTCGCTCTTTTTACCCAGGCTGGAGTGCAATGGCGCGATCTCGGCTCACCGCAACCTCCGCCTCCTGGGTTCAGGCAATTCTCCTGCCTCAGCCTCCGGAGTAGCTGGGATTACAGGCACGCGCCACCATGCCCAGCTAATTTTTTGCACCATTAGTAGAGACGGGGTTTCACCATGTTGACCAGGATGGTCTCGATCTCTTGACCTCGTGATCCACCCACCTCGGCCTCCCAAAGTGCTGGGATTACAGGCTTGAGCCACCGCGCCCGGCCTTTTCTTCCAGTTTTTAGGTTTTCGTCTCTTCATCCAGTTTTAGGAACTTATTGCTTCCCATTATGTAGACTTAAGAATGTTGATATGAAAAGGGCATAATTCCCTTTTTTTTTTTTTTTTTTAGCTGATCTTTCCTGCCTACATTATTAAATGGCAAACTTTTTTTTCCCCCTGCTTTGCAGGAACATATTCATCTGCCACCTTTTTCCAAGAACCAGTTTTTCAGGACCAGGCACAGTAGCTTACACCTATAACCCCCACACTTTGGGAAGCTGAGGTGGGAGGATCCCTTGAGGCCAAGAGTTTGAGATTAGCCTAGGCAACATAGTGAGACCCCTGTCTCTACTAAAAACTAAAAAACATTTTTGAAAACCAGGCACAGTGGCTCGTGCCTGTAATGCTTACACTTGGCGAGGTCAAGGCAGGTAGATCACTTGAGGTGAAGAGTTCAAAACCAACGTGGCCAACATGATGAAACCCTGTCTACACTAAAATTACAAAAGTCAGCCGAGCGTGGTGGCATGCGCCTATCATCCCAGCTACTCAGAAGGCAATGAGCCAAGATCGTGCTACTGCACTCCAACCTGGGCAACAGAGACCCTGTCCAACAGCCTAACAGAAAAATAGTCAAAGGATATGAACAAGATACTAGATCTCTGAAGAAATACACATTGTGACTTAACATAGAAAAGATAGGAAGCCCAACTAACAATGTTAATATATAAGACAACCTTCTAAGTGACTTTCAAACACACTTAACAAAAAGCAAGCTACAAGTTTTATAAAAGAAATGGTAGCTTTTCTCACCTGGTATAGCAAGCAGCTTTTTAGGTAAAATAAGGTCAGGAATAGTTTCCCCAAAACAGCCAGACGCTCTCTGTCAGGACAAGCTGTCCTCGGTTAAAAAGATAGTCAATGAGCTGTGTTTCTCTTATACGTATTAGGCTCTTGATTGGATAATTAAAATAACCCAGATTCTCACGAGCAGAAATTTTCACACATCAGGTTCAATTTTTTTCCCTTAATTCATCCAATAATGTGAATGCCTCTGTTCTATAAACGTTGAAGAAATTCACTTCTCACAAGGAGAGACTGGGGATAAATGCATATAGCGGTTCAAGTCAATGCTCCCATGTAAAAAAATAAAAAATAAAAAGAAGAAGAAATAAAAGATCTGTTTTACCCTGGTTGGCTTTTAGTTGACCATTTCATTTGGTTCACCTGCTGAGAATTTGAGAACGATGTTACTACCAGGCAGTGAAGACGTTACAGAGAGGCAAGATGACTTCTAGCTACTGTATCCCTCCTCGGCTGTTTCCCAGCCCTAACTCAGCAGAAGAATCACCTGGCCTCTTGGTCAAAACATAGCTTCCTAAGTCCCACATATATACAGTAATTCCAGTTAAGCAGGTCTGCAGTGAGACCAGGAGTGTGCATTTTTCAGAAACACCACCCCCATGACCAGGGGACTTTAGACATTTTTGTCATGCTCTTAATGATAGACATTTCAGAGGGATGAGTTGAAGTAGGGCTGGCATTTGTTCACCACAAGTCATACCATTGAAGGAATCTTGGAAAATACAGACCAGAAGGAAACAAAGGGAGAAAAATACTTAAGCATAGGAAAAAATTTGTTTAAAAAATCAAGGTATTAAATATTAACTGTGGACCGGCTCCGGTAGCTCACACCTGTAATCCCAACACTTTGGGAGGCTGAAGTGGGTGGATAATGAGGTCAGAAGATTGAGACCATCCTGGCCAATATGATGAAACTCCTTCTCTATCAAAAATACAAAAATTAGCTGAGTGTGGTGGCCTGTGCCTGTAGTCCCACCTATTTGGGAGGCTGAGGCAGGAGAATCACTTGAACCCGGGAGGCAGAAGTTGCAGTGAGCCAAGATTGCGCCACTGCCTTCCAGCCTGGGTGACAGAGCGAGACTCGGTCTCAAAAAAAAAAAAAAAAAAAAAAAAAAAAAAAAAATTAACCGTGTTTATGCTTAGGAAGTGGAACTATGTATGTTATTGTTATTTACAGATTTTATTGACAGACTAAGAGGTGCAGAGGACATTAAAATATTTTCTAATACAATTCCCATTTTGAAGATAAAAAATTGGCCGGGCACGGTGGCTCAAGCCTGTAATCCCAGCACTTTGGGAGGCCGAGGCGGGTGGATCACGAGGTCGAGAGATCGAGACCATCCTGGTCAACATGGTGAAACCCCGTCTCTACTAAAAATACAAAAAAACTAGCTGGGCGTGGTGGCGCGTGCCTGTAATCCCAGCTACTCAGGAGGCTGAGGCAGGAGAATTGCCTGAGCCCAGGAGGCGGAGGTTGCGGTGAGCCGAGATCGTGCCATTGCACTCCAGCCTGGGTAACAAGGGTGAAACTCCGTCTCAAAAAAAAAAAAAAGAAAAAAAAAAAAAGCACTGGCCAGGCACAGTAGCTCATGCCTGTAATCCCAGCACTTTGGGAGGCTGAGGTGGGAGGATCACTAGAGGCCAGGAGTTTGAGATCAAACTGAGCAACGTAGTGAGGTACTCCATCTCTTTTTTTTTTTTTTTGAGATGGAGTTTCGCTCTTGTTACCCAGGCTGGAGTGCAATGGCGTGATCTCGGCTCACCGCAACCTCCGCCTCCTGGGTTCAGGCAATTCTCCTGCCTCAGCCTCCTGAGTAGCTGGGATTACAGGCATGTGCCACCATGCCCAGCTAATTTTTTTTTTTTTTTGTATTTTTAGTAGAGACGGGGTTTCACCATGTTGACCAGGATGGTCTCGATCTCTTGACCTCGTGATCCACCCGCCTCGGCCTCCCAAGGTGCTGGGATTACAGGCGTGAGCCACTGCGCCCGGCTCCATCTCTTAAAAAACTTTTTTTGCTGGGTGTGGTGGCTCATGCCTGTAATCCCAGTACTTTGGGAGGCCAAGGGGGGCAGATCACGAGGTCAAGAGATCGAGACTGTCCTGGCCAACATGGTGAAACCCCGTCTCTACTTAAAAATAGAAAAAAATAGCCAGGCATGGTGGCGGGTGCCTGTAGTCCCAGCTACTTGGGAGGCTGAGGCAGGAGAATTGCTTCAACCCAGGAGGTGGAGGGTGCAGTGAGCTGGGATTGTGCCACTGTGCTCCAGCCTGGCGACAGAGTGAGATTCCGTCTCAATAAAAATTTTTTTTGTTTAATTAGCTGAACATGGTGGCTATTCAGGGGAATGAGGTTGGAGGATTGCTTTAGCCCAGGAGGTCGAGGCTGCATTGAGCCATGATTGTGCCACTGCACTCCACCCTGGGCAAAAGAGAGAGAACCTGTCTTACAAGTAATTTTTTTTAAAATTTATTTTCTTTCTTTATTTATTTTTTTTTGTTAGAGACGGGGTTACTCCCTATTGGTCAGGCTGGTCTCGAACCCCAACTTCACATGTTCCACCCACCTCAACCTCCCAAAGTGTTGAGATTACAGGCATAAGCCACCGTGCCCAGTCACAGGTAAAATTTTTAAGTGTAACTGTAGATTTTTTTTTTTTTTGAGCTAGAGTCTCTGTCACCAGGCTGGAGTGCAGTGGCACAATCTCGGCTCACAGCAACCGCCACCTTCTGGGTTCAAGCGATTCTCAGGCCTCAGCCTGTAATTCCAGCACTTTGGGAGGCCTAGGTAGGTGGATCACAAGGTCTAGAGTTCAAGACCAGGCTCGCCAAGATGGTGAAACCTCTTCTGTACTAAAAATACAAAAACTAGCCTGGCATGGGGGCAGGCAACTGTAATCCCAGCTACTCAGGAGGTTGAGACAGGAGAATCACTTGAACTCAGGAGGTGGAGGTTGCAGTGAGCTGAGATGGTGCCACTGTACTCCAGCCTGGGCAACAGAGCAAGACTGTCTCAAAATAAAATAAAATAAAAATAAAAAAATTAAAAATATTGTATGTGAGATGTCCTACAAGCAAAAAAATAAATAAAATTAAAAATTAAAATTAAAATTGACATGGGGCCTCACTATGTTGCTTACACAGATTCTTTCTAGAAAAGTGTGAGAGGCCGGGTGTGGTGGCTCATGCCTGTAATCCAAGCACTTTGGATGCCAAGGTGGTCAGATCACCTGAGGTTGGGAGTTCAAGACCAGCCTGACCTATATGGTGAAACCCCATTTATAATAAATAAATAAATAAATAAGTAAATAAATAAGAAAAGTGTGAGAAACTTTTAGCTTGGCATTGGGAAACTGAATGGTTTACGATGAATGCTGGTTTTTGTTCTTTCTTTCTTGTTTGCTTGCTTGCTTTCTTACTTCCTATTTTTAAAAGACAGGGTCTTGCTATGTTGACCTGGTTGGTCTTGAACTCCTGGCCTGAAGTGATCCTCCCATCTCGGCCTTCCGAAGTGCTGGGATTTATAGGTGTGAGCCACTGCACTGGCCTTGTTGTTTCTGTTAACTTTTTTTTCCTAGATGATGTCTCACTCTCTCACCCAGGCTGGTGTGCAGTAGCATGGTCATGGCTCACCACACCCTCAGCTGCCAGGGATGAAAGTATTCTCCCACCTCAGCTTCCCAAGTAGCTGGGTCCACAGGGGGGCACCACCACGCCCAGCCAATTTGTTTCCTGAGACAGGGTCTCACTCTGTCACCCAGGCTGGAGTGCAGTGCAGTGGCACAATCTCCATTTACTGCAACCTCCACCTCCCAAGTTCAAGCCATTCTCCTGCCTCAGCCTCTTGAGTAGCTGTGATTACAGATGTGCACCACCATGCCTGGCTAATTTTTGTATTTTTAGAAGAGACGCGGTTTCACCATATTAGTCGGGCTGATCTTGAACTCCTGACCTCAAGTGATCTGCCTGCCTTGGCCTCCCAAAGTGCTGGGAGTACAGCTGTGAGGCACTGTGCCTGGTCATCCAGTCAGTTTTTTAGTTATTTTTAGAGTCAAGGGCCTGCTGTGTTGCCCAGGCTGTTTCTCAAACTTTTGGACTCAAGCCATCTTCCTGCCTTGATCTCCCAAAGTGCTGGGATTACAGGTGTAAATCATCGTGCCCAGCCCTCTACTAGCTCTTAAGCACTGCTTCAGTGGTCCTGGTTTTGCTGGGTATAGTTAGTTACATTTTCTTTTTCTTTTTTTTTCTTTTTTCTTTTTTTTTTTTTTTTGAGACAGAGTCTTGCTCTGTTGTCCAGGCTGGAGTTCAGTGGCCCGATCTCAGCTCACTACAACCTCCACTTCCCAGACGCAAGCAATTCTCCTTCTTCAGCCTTCAGAGTAGCTGAGACTATAGGTGTATACCACCAGGCCTGGCCAATTTTTATATTTTTAGTAGAGACAGGGTTTCGCCATGTTGGCCAGGCTGGTCTCAAACTCCTGACCTCAGATGATCTGCTCACCTCCACCTCCCTAAATGCTGGAATTATACAGGTCAGCCACCAGGTCCAGCCACTTTATTTCATTTCTGTTTCTGAGGTCCATTGCTCCATTCAGTAGAAAAGGGGTGGCTTGGAGAGGATTTGGCATCCTTCCTGTGATCTCCATCTCTACTTCCCCCAAAATGCACAACCTAAGTTTAAAAGTGAAGCAACTGACGTCAAAAGAATTTCCCAGGCCGGTGCAGCGGCTCACACCTATAAGCCCAGTAGTTTGAGAGGCCGAGGACGGTGATCACCTGAGGTCAGGAGTTCTAGATAAGCCTGGCCAACATGGTGAAACTCTGTAAAAATACAAAAATTAGCCAAGCATGGTGGCATGTGCCTGTAGTCCTAGGTACTCGGGAGACTGAGGCAGGAGAATCGCTTAGAAACCAGGGGGCAGAGGTTGCAGTGAGCTGAGATTGTTGCACTGCACTCTAGCCTGGGTGACAAGAGCAAGATTCTGTCTCAAAAAAGAAAAAGAAAAAGAAAAAGAAAAAGAAAATGACCCAGCTGAGTTATATGAACAGGAGATACTAATCATTTTAAAGTGGCGGACATCGATGTTATAATCTGGGAACAAATAGAACCACCTAAATAATTTGCCATTTTCTCTCTCCAGGACCACTATGGGGAAACGACCTCCATATCCAGAATTTTATTCATGGTCTTTTATCAGATGCACTAATTTCCTTAGGATCCAAGGATTGATGAAGGTTTCTCATCGCTCATAAAGTCCAAATTGCAAATCTTGGTATTTGAATATTAATACTAACTGTAGACCAAACAAAACAAAACAAAACAAAACTCTGTAGCAATTTCAGTTAAAAAATGTAGGGAGTGCAGACCTTTCAAATGTTTAACTAAATGGCAAGACTTTGCACAGAAAGTAGAGCAAGGGTTTTTGGCCAGGTGTTAGGAATAGCATGGCACTGAGCAACTTCTTGGTGCC